ATGCCAAGTTCAGTTGATGTTACAATGACCAGTTCAGCCTGAAACTGATCTGTTGAGAAACATAAACTAGCAATTCAAATGAAAACTTTTCCCCCATTTCAGAATCACATACTTTTTTTTTTTTTTGCTTTTCTTCAATGATATACAGTTTTTAAAGCCAAGGACAGAACTGTATTAAGAAAACGGACAACTTCAGCCTTGTTCAATGTGAAATCATCTTATCACTGAACCAGCATACTCATAAATTCATGTGCGTCAGTGTGGAACTGGAAAGCGACCTATTTCGCAACACCAGTGTCTGCCTCTGTGGGTGTTTGTCTACTTTCAACTCCTATAAAAAGCACAGGCGGAACGAGGCAGCTAGAAAAAGGGAGACAGCACATTTGCATTCTCCATGCACCCACTTTCATGGGCTCCCGTGTTACACAGACAGAAAGCATCAGAGATGCAAGAAAGGCACTCTCAACTTGAACACAGTGAGGTTTTGCAGACCAAAGGCTGTTCAAACACTAATATGCACACAGTTATAGATGGATAAATGTGACTGTGATACCTGTTTAGCAGTCTTCTCTGACATGTGGCTGCATGGTCTGTTGCTTACAGATATCGTGGTTTTGATACAACACCCAGTCCTGCAATAGCATGTCACTGAGCAACTTACAAACCAGCAATGCTGATAAGTGATACAGCACAAGCATGCATATGTGACAGGAGTGTTTGAATGGTTCCTCTCATTGCCATTTGCCTCACTTTAACTGGACAAGACAGTTAAAAATTATCTGAGAAATTCATTCCAGCCCAAACCTCTCTCCTTCTATCTTTCTCTCTGGTTGCGCTTCAACTCTCTGAGGTGTCTCTGAGTTGGCATGCAATAGCTGATTTACAGAGACCGACGGGCCTGATGAGATCGCAAGCAGCGCTGCAGTTCAGCCAAGAAAACAAGGGGAACATAAGAGAGGTGAAGAGAGCTGGAAAAAAAAGAGCAAGAACTAAGTGAGGGAAGGAAAGGAGCTATAAAAAGTTTCAGAGTGAGAGGTAGAAAGGTGAGAGCAGAGCAAGAGGAAGAAAATCCTCTTGACAGAGTTCAAAAGAGCAAAACATAAGAAAAAAGAGTAGAGGTTTCGAAAGCCTTAACTCATCCTTGAACTCGGTCTGTTAGAGAGACTGTATGGAAGCTACAATAAAGCAGGGCAACAGTCCGAACTGTCCTGTGACCCTTTGAGACCTGTAATCTAGAGTCCTTGTTCCCTTTCACCTAAACACTCCACTGACATTCCCTTGGAGCCTCATTCCTTTCCAGTGCCACCAGTATGACATGTCTGAAACCATACCAGTAGGTATTTACTATTACTTTTATTTATAACAAACCATAACATTTCCTGTATTATACCAGAGTTAGGGTGAAGCTAATTTTGGTCTGCAGTCCTCTGGTAGGTTACATTTACACATACACAGACTGAAACAACAGCACAGAACAAACAAAACGCACCATTATACATCTCATATGTCACCCGGTCAATATAAAGCTGCAGCTAGCATCCAGTTAGTTTATCTTAGCACAAAGCCTGGAAACAATAGGAGAGCATAAACCTGCTCATAGACAAGAAACAGTGCAGCACAAACCCCCAGTAAAACCACAGCTTGTTGTTTTTATGCTGGTTTTATAACGAGTTATTTAGGGTGTGGTAGGTGAATTTTGTTACCTTTAGACAGAACCAAACTATTCATCTCCCTCTGTCTCCCAGTGTCTATGCTAAGCTAATCTGTAGTTTCATGCTTTTTCAATGTACACATTTCCAAATCTTATCAAGGCCTGAGGAAATCTTGAAAAATGGACAAAGAAGTTGCTGTATTTTTTTTTTCAACTCACCTTTTCTCATTGCCATAGGATTTCTGTGCAACTTTTGCATGCAGGATCATGACAGTTTGGTCACCTCGCTCCTTCAGGTAATTCCTCATTGCTTCTCTGCAAAGTGAAAAAAAGAGGGAGGAGAAAACGGAAAGAGAGGTTTATAAATGTCATTTTGTGATCCAGCAGATTTAATGTACACACATTTAAAGAAATAAAAATGTGAACATACAGAAACACATCCACATAAAGTACACTCGCAATGACCTCTCTCAGAGGGACAGTGAGGAGCAAGGGAAAGGAACAGGGGGAGAAGTGAAGGGAGAGAGAAAGACAAAGAGGCAGAGAGAAACAGCAGGGGGTGGAGGGGGGGAGGTAAAGAGAAACGAAAAACACCAGAGCTGAGAAAACAAAAACAACAGAGCTGAGCTCACCAACACAGATTCCTCATCTCGTGTCAAAATGTTGCAAGGTCTGCGCTCCAATTACTTGTGTCAACTCTGCCAAACCCTCCCTGCTCCCCCAAAGCTCTCCACCGCCACACAACCAAGCCAAAAATGACTAATATTTAGAAGACTAGTAGAGCTTGTGTTGGGCTGAAAATCATGGAGGTCAAAGACCAGGCTTAGATGCACAATTAAGATACATCACATGCATGGACATTAAAACAGCCTGACCCAATCTGCACACATGCACAGATGTCAGTGACACCTGACACGCTGGGGAGCTCAGAAGGCTTCCCACTCAGACACACACAGCTTTGCACTCTGCTACGCAATACTGCGCCGCACACTCGAGTTAGACGGGGCTTTTGTTATGAAAAGCAAGGGGCCCCTCACAGTGTGTGCGTGTAAGAAGAGGACGAAGGCTCAGAGGGACTGTGGTTTATCCAGTTCATAAATGTGTTTCCCACTTCACTGTGTAATGAGACAATTATTTTCCTGAATACTTGAGTCTCACTGCACCACCAAAACATGCTCTGTTATATGTTCAGTGCTTTCTAAATAACTAACAGCCAGCGCCTGAAAAGGATTGGAGGTACAGTCCTAGAATTCCAAACATTTAAGAGCCTTTTAAATGATTGGAAAAAATCTGATACTATTTAAACATCACAAGGAGAAAATTATATCAAGCATGGAAAATATTAAATTAGAATATTTAAACAACTTCTTCCTTTTGTTTACATTAAATGACAACTTTCCTCTGCAACCTAGGTGAACACCCACACACCAAGCCCACACCAACTCCTGAGCTCATAGCTCTGATTGATTATAGGTAGAACACAGTCCAAACTTGATTGTCAGGCCTGCAGAGCACATGACACCTGTTATGAAGCCTGTGACATCACTGATAAACACCCAGCACGCATACAAGCTTACTCACACATGGTCTGTACATGTATATTCATATTTTTATTGAAACCAATTATTTTAATCGTCTATTAAGCAATTTGTTCACCTCATTACATAGCAAGAGTTGAGATACAGACACGTGGGGAAAGTTTTGAGCAAGTAATGCTTTGCTTTGACTTGTATGTCTGAGTAAACTGTGGCAAAACTAGACAATGCTTATAGGAGGAGGCGAAGGAGTGGCAAGAGGTTTAGTCAGGGTGTCATGGGATGGTGCCATCTGAGGGCGTGCACTTATCATTCAACAGAAAATAGACAATAACTACAAACATGTTACTACAATGCTTCAGTTTTATTTCTTCTTCATTCCTCACAATCATTTCTTCTCTCATTTCCCCATTCTCTCCTTCTGTGGCTTTGTCCCTCTTCCATCTCTCTTGCCTACTCTCTTCTTCTTTCCTGTTTTCTCTCCACATCTTGGTCTTGATCTACTTTCATGGCTAAAAAGCTGGAATGGCTTTTGATTTCTGGTTTGTGCTGCAGGCCATTCCAAGCATTGTAACTTACAGTAGTCGAGACAGAAATGTTTCACTGTAATACTAAGTTGTTCTTTATGTATTGTCATGTGCAGTGTCCTCTTAAACACTGATACTCGCTTCACACCTCCCTAAAATAACCTCTGAACAGACAGTAAAGATGCCCCACACGAGGCAGCAATCAAATGAAACATGAACCCAACAGTGGGTCTAAGTTCATGCTGTGTAGCCAAGCACTGTACAGACTCAGATACCAAATATAGGAAATGTGTACAAAATGATGCACAAGACATCTAAAATATGTCCATCTGATGTAGTGTTGCACTCACAGGAGCCAAGGCAATTTGGGTTTCAATATTTTATTCAGTTTAGAAACAGACTATATATAGTATATGACAAAGTGGGGATTTTTACCTGCACCAAGGTGGTTATGTTTTTGGTTTTGTGTTTGTTTGTTGGTAGTTTTACGGTCAGCTGGATGGATCATCAGCATACTTGGTACAAACACTGGTGAGGACCAACCCTAGAAGTGATTTTGGCTGAAAAAGGTGAAAGGCCAAGGCTACAAAAAATTACATGAAAATGGAACAAAAAAAAAAAAAAAAAATCATACCTCCATCAAAAGTTATCAAAATCATTTTTTATTTGAAATTTAATACACCTATGTCGAGTAGCAATGTCTATCAAAAGACCAAATTTCATCTGAATCCGATGCGGATCCCAAATCTGACAGCCATATAAATTTAACAGTGAAAACCCCATTTAAATGCACAGTTTCTGCCATAACTTTGCCTATAATGAAGATAGAACCCTGAAATATTCAGGTACGGTGCACAGAATGACTGCCTATCATGCCTTAAAAGATGATCAACATCTGCTCCAGATCAAGGATTTTAGGACACATTTGCATGAGCGAATGCTGTGCTTTGGAAGAGATACGTGTCCCCTGAGTGCTCTTGTTTTGTCTTTTTGTTGTTGTTGTTGTTTTTAAGATCCGAGAGTAGGGACAGGTAGGCTTAGGGCAAAACCAAGACATCAAGAGATTGAAAGCATGTGTAAAAAGAGCGAGAAAAACTAATACTTAATGACAATGACACACCCGATGACACCCACAACCCTCAGTGATTCTGTAGGGTATAACAGCGAAGCCTGAGTAATCACTCATCCCTTACACATAATGAAACACAGACACACCCACAGTGTAGCTAGAGATTAGGTCTCTTCCTGAGAGCTCAAGCTGGGAAGCAAGAGTGAGCGAGACAGTGACCAGGGCACAGCCTTAACTTCCTATGCAAGAGTAAGGTACAGACAAACATGCTGCCAAAATTCTGACATGCTTATAAAAAAGAAATAAAACACAACATTAGGACAGAATGCATTAAAACACTCAGATACAAATAAATCTAGGGGGCATTAACAAAATAGTACATAGTTACTGGAAAATCGCTGCCCTATCTCATCAGATGTCATCGGACTGTGGAGGTCAGGGTAATGGGCATTTCAGTCTAAACGAACCACACACAAAGCCACATCTGCATGTAATATAAAAAGTGGCACACAATCAAGGACAACAGATAATGAAGCCATGCATCAAAGCGAAAACAAACAAACTAAACATGCTTTTATCAGTAAAGCTAGATGTTTAGCAGCCACTGCAATCCAGGTGGCTGTTCACCCTTCCTGTTAACTAACAAGTCACATCATTCAGGTCCTGCAGCAGAGACGAGTAGGAGGCAACTACACAGACAAATTGGTGGACAAAAAGCAAATACGATTTTATTGGGCTCTCTTTAGAAAAAAATAATCATTAAGTGAAGAAGAAAAGAGGAAACATGACTTGAACAGAAGAGACAGAGATAAATACAACAGAGAAGCCAAAAAAAAAAACATTTTTGAGAAGTGAGACAAAAATGTACCAGACAGATTTACAAAAAGAGATATTCAACAGCAGGCACCACAGGGGTCAGGCGAATGTGTGTGCATGTGTGAGAGCGTGGGGAGGGGCAAGGTTAAGCCAGGCTGCAGATGCAACAGAGCAGACAGACATCTGTCCTGTACATCTGCCACAGCGTCTACAGCAGAGGAGGACTGTCATAAGACCTCCTGTGAACACGAACACACACACACACAGAGTGGCAAGGCATGCTAATACACACGTGCACTGTGAAATAGCTCAATTAAGATGATCAGACTGCAATTAGTGTGTGCCCTTGTGCATCACAAAAGGTAGATTACATACATCCGTAGTGTCGAGGCTCAGGATAGGACATTCACAACCAGCTCCTTCAGGCTGCTCCGCCTCCTTTTAACCATCTCTCCAATGATGATCTGATCCACAGTCAAGTGTTTAATGTTTGATGTATGGCCTCCAGAAGGCCCTTGGGAGCCTTGAAAACACTGACAGAAAGCTGCCTAAAACGGGATCTTGTACTACATTGCCACTGTTCATCTTAGAGATAAAAAGCTTTTGCCACAATGACAAAAGTGTGAGTTGTCTACCAGCCAATAAGAGAACAAAACATAAATGTGTAGAATTTTATTACAGCGAGTGCTGAGTGGAATATTACACCGAGTTCCTGAGATTGCAAATTTTCATTTGAATCTCATCTTAGCAGTAAGATAAAACAGAAAACCTGCAAAAGCAAAAGGAAATCATTCAGGACCAGATTTGAAATGCAAACCAATGGGCAAATGTCAGAGGTTTAATTTTAAAGTTTCTGACGCAGACAACTAAAAGGCCGTTTCTATTGAGCTCTTCCATCTGAGGCGATGGATTCTGCAGAGTTGGCCCTTCCTCCGTTGTTTGGGAGAATAAGCCATTGCAGGGGCGGCTCCCCTAACAGAGAAGACAGCTTATCCAGCCAGCACACTTGTGTGCTGTGTCTGTTTGTGCACATCTATCTGTCTGAACCTAAGATGTGTATATCGTATTTCCATTCGAGTAGCCTTCCTGACATGGTGGCCCTGCAGGACCTGGAGCTTTCTCTGCCCTAAAAAGCCTCTGTAGGACAGAGCACAATTTTAGCCGTCTGTGCTGCTGCCTGGCAAAAAAAAAAAATCTGTTGTTGATGTAGGAAGGGGACAAATTGGTGTGAATGAACATGCAGACATGAGCACCCTGAGGCAAGACAAACACCAAGAACAAAACACCACGATGTACAGGGGTACAAAGACACACAGACACACTAAAACAGTTGTGTTTTGAGCCTTTGGGCTGCTGTGTAAAGAGTATTTTGTCCCCCGTCATATTTCTGGCCATTGAAACCACCAGACAAATGGAGGGGCCAGTACAATCCAGCAGACTGGCAGCACATAAATGAAGAGGGGGGACACATCAAAAGGTGCTGGGGCCCCTTTTCCAAAACCATGCTCAGCCGTTCCAAGCAACATGCAACCCCTCATTTTCCCCACTGATTGCCACACGCAAAAAACGAGCACGTACACATACTGTACATGCATGCACACAGAAAAACCAATGCCTGTTCCCAGTAACCAACAAGCAAACAAGTGCATATATACACACACACACAGACCTCTAGGAGCAAGCCACACCATCAATGAGCATTCTGTGTTCATCCAAACATTGCCCCAAACAACTTAGAACAAACTTAAGAGCAACAAAATAATCTGCAAGTGGGAGGTATGATGAACACAGCGGTGCAGAGTGCACGTTCACACTGAAAGTCCTGAGAAAGGCTGAATTATCGCCTTTATTGGTTGTTTGTCTAACAACAATTGTGAGGCATAGGGTTCATTTCAATGCAAACATATTCAAACATGTCTCAGAGGGCTTTAGATTGAAAAACTACAAAGATCTAACTAATAAACAATCGAGAGCAGAACAAATATTAGGAAAGACAGCAGGAGGTGACAGATAATAGCTGTCCAGTGCTTGAAGTATGGACTATCACAAATCTACGCAACTTGTTGCCACAGCATGCAGCCATTCACAGCTATATTTATTCTGTGGCCTTTACAGCTGCATTTCTGACTGAATCTGCATCACCACTTTTAGAAATCACCACCACAAATGAGTTCTTCTGTGCCGATGACTAGTTTGCCAAGAGTGCATTTTATGCTCTTGTTTTCTGCACATAATCTGAAACCAAGTAGAGGTCATAAAGTTTTTTTTGGAAGGCTATGTGGTGCTTTGACCAACCGAAAAGCTATGCACGTTTTCTCCTTTCCACCTTGTACACTCTGCTAATATATTCAAAGCATTTTAAGACATCTTACACACAGCTAGAAACACCACTGTCAAATTCTGTTGGTGAAGGCCAGCGGCAGTCACAGGTGTAATATGGACATCTTCGATTAACACATAGGTTGTACCAACAGTGGTGCAAGAAGCACTTTACTGGTAGGTAGACATACAAATACCACTAAGACAACAAATAAGAAAAGATTATATTGTGTGCATGTGTGTATGTACACCCACCTTGTTAGGCGCTGTGGCTGAGGGCGCTCCCCGAACTTCCTGCAAACACACAAATTGAAAAGAAAACATGAGTGGGCTGGTTATCGGCCACAAACACGGACAGAGTAAACACTGCATTACACAATGGTGCAAGCCTACATGCTATAACCTTGACAGTGTGTAGTGGCACTGTGCTCACAAGCGACAGTGTTCACGGCAGCAGGAGTGCACACACTGAACTTTACTCACATCAGTTCAGTGGTATATCAAAACAAGTTGTGCATCGTCTTATTGCAGCTTTCACTAGTCACCACTATTTTTCAGAAACAATAGTGCGTCGCAAAACGAAGTAGAACTCCGCAAGAATCCTAACTACCAGGTGTGGATGACTGGTCACAGCGCTCTATGATGTTCATCCAAGTTTTTAAAACCTTCAGCTCAATGGTGCATAATGAAGGAGGGTAAATTTCACTTGGTCTGAGGCAACAAAAACTAGATACAACTGGGATATAACACGGTAAATCTGTCTGCATTCTAAAACATATAGATAAGGTACTGCAACCATTACATCATGGATAATTACAAACGAACAGTGGATGGTGTAAACCTTACCTAACAAAAAGATTCAGCATTTAAATAATTTATGAAAATTCACAGTGATGTTGGCCTAAATACAATTTAATTTTGTCATCAACAACAAGTGACACCTTCATTTCAACACTACTGATATTAAAAAATTATTACATTAAAGGACAGATTCATTAAAACCTTTGTTAAAATATTAGTAAACGGGAAGTCAAAGATGTTTTTTTTTTTTTTTTTTTTTTTCTCATAAAAACGGGGGGGTAAAATTTTTTTTTTTTTTTTTTTTTTTTTTACTCCTGCCCTGAATTGAACTGACACATTTTGGAAACTAACGATTCAGCTGTTTTGTAAAGAAGTGTGCTGTTTGTCCGGAGTGCACATCTACCACACGACACACAGGAAATACTGTTCAAATTTCCGCTAAGTATTTAAACCAACCTATTTGACAGTCAAAGTGTTTGCAATGCTGTGGGCTGCAGGTCTCCTCTGATGTCTCAAGAGACGCTTTAAAACTTAAAGAAAAGCAAGGATCTTAGTCCTGAAACTGTATAACTGAGAGGATGTTCATTTGACTTTTTGAGCACCTAGATATTTCCAAGATGTCTTGTCTGCACAGTTCTGGATATTGTGCCCCTTTCATATTCATTCCCACTATTATGGCAGCATCATATACCTTCACTTCTTGTAAAGATTCTGCCCTAAAAGTGCACAGCTAACTCCTGCTGGGAGGCTGATGAATCAGTAAACTGAGTCATACCTGAGAACTCTTAGTCACTGATTGCACACGGCAAGGAAATGACTGCCGATACCACACATACAAAAAAGGCCATAAACTTGCAACATGTCACACCTGAGGATGACTGTTTTATGGTCAACCTTCTGATGCTGGTACAGCAATGACTTGTGAAACATCTTACAGGTCATCACTCAAAGATGACAGATAAATGCTATGAAAAGATGGAAGCACACATACACATCAAAGACAACAGAAAATTGCCAGATGAAGCCAGGAAAGCAGGGCTGAGATAAGAGTGAAACTGCCACAAAACACGGTTTTAAAAATTAGTTGTTAATCATAATTTACTCGTACCAATTACAACATGCTCTTCTCTTTTTTTCTCCCTTATAACATGTTTTTATCATTATGTGCAAATGTGAATTAGAAATTTTAAATAAAATCTATATTAAAAACATTGACAGGGGCTCCTGTACCTGAGCCTGAATCACTGACATGAGCAGACTACGTGCATCTTCCGTCCTACAGCTCCTCTATATATGTGTTTTTTTTATATATATATATATATATATATATATATGTCATGAACCATTCAGTAAATGACCTCTGGCTCAGAACGCCTTACGAACCAAATTATTACTCTTATTAGTCTCACGCAGTCAAGTCGCAGCCTGCAGTACACCCTGGCATGCACACAGGCTAGACTGACAAGTGCGAGTTCCACCTGGAAATATCTGGCACTGCATCAGTTATTGCAAGCCAAGTTATCCTACAGCTAGCACCATCCATAGAGTAAGTACAAATGAGAAGGCAGAGCACTAAGACTGTCCCATATTATGCAAATCAGAAAAATATAATGAGATTTAGTGCCTCCGGTAGAAATACAGTAGCTAAGAAAACTATGATCATTAATTGTCTATAAAATTCCTGAAAGCTTTTTTTAATATGCCCATTGTTGTCTGATCTACAGTCCAACACCCAAAAGACCAGTTTACAATCATGCAAGACAAAAAGTAGCATAAATTCCTTACAATTGAGAAGCTAGAAACAGCAAATGTCCCACATTCCTTCTTTAAAAAATGACAATGACTTGATTATTGTTGTCAATTATTTTTCCCAAGCTCTATCCAACATGCTTAGGCTATTTGCAGCTCATATTGCTGCATAAAGAGGAGGTACATGTTTACTTGTACATGTATACATGCCTACAAGAAGGACATAGATGCGAGTGAGTGAGATTCTCTCTTTGTGTAGGATGTAGTAGCTTTGCATGCTGTTGATAAGTATATCAATAAATACACACGGGTGGTTTGGGATTTTGGCATGCATTAAAAAAAAAAGAATACAAACACAAATAGAGGGATGAAAATAGCAAAAAAAAAATAAAGAAGCAAAGGGCAGGAGAAAGCAAGAGAAACAAAAAGTATGACTGGTTCAAGTGCCAGAAGGAGGGAGTGGAGGTGGAATAATTATAAAGGAGGGCAATCAATAAGGTTCCCAGAGTGACACACTGAAGCTTCAACTAGCTAATGGATTCCAGACTGCTCTCTCCCTCTCCTTCTAACCTTCACCCCCTCCGCTGCAAACAGGGAGCAATGGAGGAAGGGATAAAGCAGGGAAAGTATAGGGGAAGATTAAAGAGGAGGCGAGAAGTAGTGGATGGTGTGTTGTGGGAAGAGTGAGAATGGGATCTGTGCAGAAATCAAGTAAAAGGATTCAGATGTGGATACATGGGAAAAAAGAGAAAGGCGAAATGGGGGAGATGGGAAGGAATCAGCCATGGCTGCATTTACCCAGTTTTTAAAATATTTTCAAACATCCATCATAAAAAAAAAAAAAAACCTACACAAAGATGATAATCTCTACCCTCTTCACATGCTTTTAAAAGGTCAGATGGAAATACTGTGGCTAGTAAAATCAGCTTCACTGTGAGGTAGTGAGATGTAAAAAGAGGCAGAGGCGGTCAGAGGTGTTATAGTGGGGTTGGCAATTTCTGTGAAAAACCACCGTCCACGTTTCCTATCACCTCCATGAGCTCACTTTGACACACAAACACCAACAAGAAAAGACAACCAAACACAGGAAACCACAAACGTAGACTTGCAAAGGCAAAACACAGGCACACACGCTGTTGCAAGCTCGACTTTAATAAAATGATGCATTTCATTGCAGAGCTCAAGTTGAGGAGACATTAGTGTGGTGAGTTAAATTGCAGATGTCATAAGCTGCAATCAAAATCGCTGTTCTATTATCCAGCCTAACTTCCTCATTTTAATCCCACTTTGTGAAGCAATGAGGACTCCACCTCTGCACAAGTGCAACACAAGCAGTTTTATTCAGTGCGTGCCCACACACAAAAAAAAATTAGTCTCATCTTTTTTCTTTTGCACATGATGCCCAACAATGTGTGCTGTAGCATGTAACACACACACACACACACACAGACAGTCTCAATGCAGACCAGGGATCAACAGAGGAAAAGGAAGCTCTATGTGAAGAGGAGTTTTGTCTGTCTCCATCCGTTATGACTACTCTCATTCCTCCTCCTCCTCCTGCTTACCATCACTGATTCTGCTGGATACATTGAGGGTGATAGAACAGCAACAGACACTTTGTTCAGTTTCAAAACAGAATATAAAAGAATTCCTTTGTTGTCATTTGCAAAAAAAAAAAAAAGCTCAATTAGACTCAATCCATGCAAGTTGTTACAGAAAATCATCATTATGTGCTATTTCTCCAGAAGTGTATTTAGTGCAAACACACACAACCAATCTATTCTGCACTAATCCAAAACTCTGTTCAGTCTCTATCAAATTCATTCCCCATACTTTTCTTATCCTTTCCAGGTCCGTTTATGAGCCGTGTAACTGGGCCTTTTTACTTTGGCAGTGTCCTGTTAAGAACCATTAAAATGGTTACTCATGACTAAATATGAAATGGTATGAGATGGGACAAACAGTTGTTCCATTTACATGTGATGCGAGAGGATGCCCTGACTATGTTTTCATTGGGGGGGTAAGATCGATGTCACTTTTGGGGTACAGAGGTGCACTGATAGTGCCATTTAAATGTACAGACTGACAGGTAGAAGCACCTTGCTTTGGCTCATCTGTTGGCCTGACTGGCTTATGACTGACAGAATGAGGCTCCCAAACCACAGAGTACGCCAGCTACTGGCTGAAGGTTTCAGGCAGAAAAGAACAGAAATACTGCACTCACTCCTGCCATGTCACCAGCTTGTTTGCCTGAACGGCCACATTGATCTGAGACAGTGAAGCAAACATCCTTCGCAGTGTAGTCAAGTCAGTTTATTTATAAGCTCATTTTAGAACAATAAAGACCTCAAACATTTATAAAAACAGGTAAAACCTAATAGATAAACTAAATAAATAATACACCAGAAAAACACAACATTAGCAAGAGGATAAATCAACCAGAGTTAAAAGCCAAGGAGAAAAGGTGGGTTTCTAACTGTTTGGAGCAGCAGAATGATCCACAATGTAGGGGTCCTTACAGCAAAGACATGATCCCCTTTGAGCTTCAGTCTAGACCTCAGAACAACCAAAAGCATCTGGTCACAAGATCTAAGTGGCCAAGATGGTGCATGTGGTTTTAAAAGTGGTAAGAGGTAAGACAGGGCCATCCCATTAGAAACACTTTAAAACCCATCAAGTAACAAACCAGGAGCCAGTGAAGACATACATACATACAAGGTATCTGTAACAATCCTTCTATTATT